ACACAAAGATTTTGGAAAACTTGGTTTTCACTAGATATTTACGTTTGACTTGCGTTGGTAACAAGTCATTTCTTGCAAGTCCAAGTCAAGTCACAAGTGATTTTGTCCAAGTCAAGTCACAAGTCATCAGTCTCTTTAACAAGTCAAGTCACAAGTCACAAAAATTGCGACTCGAGTCCGACTCGAGTCCAAGTCACACGACTCGAGTCTACAACTCTGCCCCCCTCTCCCTTTGAGATCGTTTTGCACCACCCTTGAGATTTTTTGCACTTTCCCCGAAAAGTCATGCACCTCCCCGTCGGAAAGATTGAACAATATATCAAAGTGAAAATTTGACAATTTTTTATAGAGTCTAGACCTTGTAAATTTTTTTCTGTAAAATTGAAACAGTGATAACCATTCATATCTGTGTCAGGTACCCTTCAATGCAATGTTCCAAAAGAAACTTTGTAGTAATGTAATGAAGGGTAAAATTGGATGAACAAGTTGAATGGTAAACAAGTTGAATGAACTAACCTAAGATATGTTCATGTCTTAACATGACTGTCTGGTACATTTCGGTTTCTCTGCGCCAAGAGCATTCATCTCGTGTGGAAAATATTTTTATAGCGACATCTTCACCGCGCCATTTGCCACGATATACCTCGCCATAACGACCTTTCCCAATACAATCGTGTAGAATCACTTGTCTTGCAATAGTTCTTTGGATCAATAATGGAAGACCTGACCCGCTGCCTGTATGCAAGTGCAACAGAAATATTATTAAATTTTGTGCCGTAATGATAAACTAAACCAACCTTATTTATACTGGATAAAGTTCCGGTCAAATGAGGGAGAGAGTTGACGAGAGTTGCAAATCTCGCTCGCGTTCCACCGCCAAGTTGATGAGAGTTCGCTACCCGCGCAGTAATATCCAGTCAACTCTCATGCTGCTCTTGTTTCCGTTTGACCGGGGCATGAGAGTTGAGAAAACTCTCATGCAAACTCTCGCTTCTCAACTCTCATGCAAGTCTTGTACTTGTTTGACCGAGGCATGGGAGTTGAGAAAACTCTCCTACAAACTCTCGCATGTCAACTCTCATCAACTTTCATGCAACTCTTGTTCTCGTTTAACCTGGGCATGAGAGTTGAGAGCATGAGAGTTGAGAAAACTCTCATACAAACTCTCGCTTCTCAACTCTCATACAAGTCTTGTTCTTGTTTGACCGAGGCATGAGAGTTGAAAAAACTCCCGTGCAAACTCTCGCTTATCAACTCTCTTCAACTCTCGTGCAACTCTTGTTCTCGTTTGACTGTGGCATGAGAGTTGAGAAAACTCCCATGCAAACTCTCGCTTATCAACTCTCATGCAAACTCTCACTTCTCAACTCTCGTTCGACAAGGGGCTTAACTCTATCACTTCTAAATTGTTCTCTAGTGGTCCAGTATGAACCATGGAACCACAAGAGGAATTTTCAGGAAACATAAACTAAACTAATTTTATTTCTACTGGATAGCTCTATCAGTCAGTTATAAACTATTCTTTCTAGAGGCAAGTCTCATTAATATTTTTTCGCGCGAGAAAAATTTAAAATGTGCCTGCAAAAAGGCATATTATACTTTATATTTTTCATGTGAGCTAGATAGTGTTAATTTAGAAATCAGAAAATGTGCCTACAAGACTTAAAAGGTGCCTCATGCTAGTGCATTTTAAACACGCATGCCTAGAGAGAGTTCCAGTAAGACTCACCCCTTATTGATGTTACCGTTTCTTCCTGTAGTAAAACTGAACCCAGGAAAATCTGTGCCGTTTGATAGAGTCAAACTGGAAGCACTTTCACTAGTTTCAGACTCCAGAATGCAACAATTCGCGTACTTACGTATACCGGAGGTATGCCAATATTACGGTCTGGTACCTCTTTGTTTTCAGCAAGTACCACGTTGTATTGTCTGCGTATTTATAATTGGCTTATTAAGTAGAGATATGTGTAAATCCATAGTTAATAGAATAGATGGTTTGGAAACTCATTAGAATAACAATTTAACTCATTATCTATGTTAGTCAACGTTTATTTATAAATCTGGTCTTTCATCGTCACGTGCGTATTGTATTTTTCCCTAACTAACCAATAGCAATGTCTTAACAAAGTTACCTATCCGTGACTCGAACAATAGGGTAAATTGGAAATTGCTATTGGTGGATTTAGCAAAAATACAATACACATGTGACGGTGAAGGACCAGATTTATGAATAAACGTTGACTAACATAGATAATGAGTTATATTGTTATTCTAATGAGCTTCCCAGCCATCTATTCTATTAATTATGGTAAATCTGACGACAACTTTGTGATCATGGGATAAGATGCACACTGCACACACGATAACACATCTTGTAACAAGTCTGTCAACAAGTTGTGTTTGCACCGTTGGTCACTCGTTGTAAGGTTGTTCCAACAAGTCATGAATGATATAACAATATTGTTACAACCTTGTGTGGTCAACCTTGTTATATCCTTGTTATATCACAACTGTATCAGACTTGCTAGAACAAGCTTGTTGCAAGATGCTAACAGCTCGTTTCAAATTTGTTACAACAACTGGGAACAAGCAGTGCGAACACAACTTGTCGACAGCTTCGAAACAGATTTGTAACAACTTGTTGCTATCATCAACATCTTCGTGAGGAATGTCAGAGTCAATTCTAGAGTTGATATATGCACTTCTGTAATAGTTTCTCATTAAATTATCACATTCATGCTAACTAGTAATCTATGCAGGGCGAATGTTGTTTCCAATCTGTGTTTGTAAGAAGGTATAAAGTGCATTACAAAATCTTGAATTTTTAATGTGAAAACTTTATGACTTTGATAAAAAATACCTTTCATGGAGAACACTCTTTGAGGCTTCGAAAATGCTTTTTTTTTCTGGGGGAGCAATGCCCCCAGATCCCGTCCCCCAATAATTTTTGAAGTACCATCCAGAAACGGTTGAAAATATTAAATTATCACATCCTGTAACATGCCACTGAGATGTCAAACTGCACATTGCAGGAATTAAACCTACGGTATAGCCTGCATTGACTTTTTCCCTTCCCCCCTCGAAATGTCAGGCTGCATGCAGGCTAACTATGGTACAACCAACATCCCAACCCACCTGAGTATGTTTGATCATAATCAATGATATCCTGAATAGATTCGGGCATTTTGCTCTCCCCCACTTCCAAATCACTTTCAAGAAGACCTTTATCATCGGCAGTTAGACGGCGATCTCGCAGGAAGATAAAAAGCATGACTGCCAATGTGATCAGACACACGGGTGCAGAGATACAAATAGCGATAATAACAGTTCGACCATAGCCAACATAGATCACTTTTGTCATTTCTTCAGCTGAAAAAAAAGAAGCTGAAATGAAACGATAGTTTGTCTAATAATTTCTGTGTATGAAGACAGGCAACGGACACATCATTCATCGACTAAACTGTTTCATCTGTAAAAGATGTGTCTGTAATAGAGAAGGGTCCATGTATATTAGAGCAATAGAGATATACATCAGAGATATCTGCACTCCTAATAGGCAGTCTGTATTAGATAGTTATATATTAAAGCAGGGGTGGATCCAGCAAGGTTTTTTTAGGGGGTGCTGGGTGAGCAGGTGGGAGAGTATTCAAATGAATTGGCTTCCTAACGACTCGAGTGCTGAAGGTGTGAGCTCCCTAGGGGGTTCAGGGTTATGCGCCCAGAAAATTTTGAAAATTAGAACCTTAGAAATGCCATTTTTTTACGATATGGGCATTGAATTATGAGCTTTAGTTTGACTTCAAAAAAGGAAAAACCCAACTGTTGACCAAGGCCAACTTCAACAGGGGTGCACACCCCTGTGCACCCCCCTATAAATCCACCCCTGTATTAGAGAGATCTCTGTGTTGGAGATACCATATTTACTCGTTTGAAATTTTCAGATGCGGTGTTCATTCGGGGGTCTATATTAGTGGATAATTTAATTGTAAACCCTTTACTTGGCAATGTACCCTGATGCACCCTACTTTATTATTTTACTTTGTCAAATGTCAACAGGAGGATGCTGTCACAAAAACAAACTTACTTGGTGTTTCTTCGCCTTTGGGGAGTTTGGGCAATGTCAAGTTCAACTTTTTATTACACATGTCCTCATTACAACATTGAGCACTGAAGGTTGGCGTCGGCCCAGCGTTACACATAAACAGATGATTGACCTTCGTGTCTACACATCCATATTGGCGCTGTTGCTCATTTTCCCTTGTGACATATGCAAAACATGATAATGTTGTTTCACATGTGTTTCCCGTACGTGTCAGAGTTGAAAAGCATATGAGTGTCTTGTTTAGTGGCTGCATTAATGCTAAAAATAAGTAAAAAAATAATTTTTCACATTTTCTACAAATAGTTCAGAGCTGAAAACTTTAAAATGTTCTGGTGAGATAATCTATTTATTTAGTACCTATGCAACCGAAGCCATAGACCAATTTGAAAAAAAAGGTAATTCTTTTTTCTCCCGAAGTTAATTTCAACCAAGGTAATTGCTGCAGCCTTAATCGCTGCTGCTTCAAGATGTGCGGATAAATCAGTTCTCACAATTCAACAGAAATTGAGTGAAACATTTTGACAGCAAAATTTTTCTTGGAAGTGGGAAATCCACCTTATAGTGTCAAGTACTTAATACCACCATACAAGTATTGAAAACATTCAAGTGTTTCTGATACTTATATCATTAGATTATTTCATTCATATTGAATACTTTTGACTAGACTGATGTCAATCATCGCGTGCTTATCGAATATTATAATGGCATTTCGTTGACCCCCTATCTATTAAAATGCGGGTATGAAACTAATTTCCTCTCCCATTTCCTATGCCTAGCCCCAATAACATGTTTTTACAACTATTAAATAAACACTGGCACACAAACTAACAACATTTCTAAGGCGGTGTAGTTATAACACTACTGTAAAGGCCGGTTATAACACGCTATTAAAATGTCTAATATGGGCCATGATCAAACTCTTAGAAAAGGTTGACATTTAAAAAATTTTTGATCAAAATGAAACTGTGTGGTCAGAATGTGAATAGTTCAAAGAAATTTTGACAGTCCCCACAGCGAGCCTTATTTGAGCAAAATGTTTGACGCAAAACACAAAATGAACTAATGTTACGAGCCGGCTTTTATGGTATAGTATTTTTAAGGAGAGAAACCTAAAAATGAGAAACCTACCAATTCGATGCAAGAGAACAGAATTTGTCGTATATAAATTGTAACAAGTTTTCTATATTTGCAACTTTTATATGAATTCGGCAAGTATATATGTGTCTGTCCAAACTGCATAACAACGACAGCTTTTTATCGAAATTAATGCCTTGTGAAAGCAACTACTTGCACACACTCATACTTGTACTGTACACTATTGTGCTTGTGCTGTAATATCTTTTGTGATACTTTTGCGAAATAACTAAGAAAAATAAATATTGCATGTTTTGCAAACCACCCGGCATGATAATTTACAAACAGCCGACAGTGAAGACTCCTCAAACCGCGACAGTTTTTTATACAACAGGCAATATTTTCAACCAATCTTACGTAGCTTGTACGTAAGAAACAAACATGTCCCTAGCACACAATGTTACGAAATTATTTTGCCTGTAGGCTTCCATAATACCGACGGCAAAACAATTTATTAATCCCGGACTCTCTTTTCAACGCTTATAACATGCAGCTTATTACTGTACTAAATCCACTTCTATTCAGGACGAGAAAGACAATATTTGCCGAATTTATTCCCTTGAGATTTATAGGTTTTACGTTTTCTTTCAACGTTAAGTTATTTTGGCTCAGCGATACGTTATTTTTGTCAGTTTTGTGTCAATAACCCAACATCTGATATCTACTACTGTCCGCCATTCTGATTTATATGGCGATAAAAAATGTCTAGTCCATACACACATATTTTGTACTTGAAATATGTTACGGAATACAAACGATTTGTACGGTTAAATGACATAGAATAAAGCATAGAAATTAGTTAAGATATCAATTGAATAGTGTATTGTAAAAAATTGCAACTTTATAAAATGTAGCGTGATATTTTATGCTTATTTTCACGATGTTTTTAAAAAAGCAAATACGTACCCTCACTCGTCAAAGCACTTGTAATAATAATCATCGCACCAAGAGCAAGACGTCTGTCCCATATTTTGCCCATCATAGCTTGAATTTGCAGTATTTTCCAACACTATCCAAGGTAGAAATGTAAAGAGAGACTCTGGTTTATTCCTTGTTAAAAATGGTCGTCGGAACTTGAGAAAATAAACAGAATATTATACCGCATTTAGAATCGAACACCGCTAGCTAGGGTGGGCTATGCCATGACGTATTTCCGAACCTTCTCCGATTACACCGCGATTATAATAATCGGAAACAGATTTGATAGCTGACAAATACAAACGACAAAAGAGCTGATTTAAACCACTTATAAATATCTTGCAGTGTAGCACGGAAAGACAGTTATCACAGTGACTACATTGTTCATTAAATTGACCTTGTATTTAATGGCAAATACATTTAATAACATTTTATATTCAGTGAATAAAATTTCATTTTTTCTGTTTTGGGTTAGCTGTGGTTTGCCCTTTCTATAAATTCCATACGCGAGAAGTAGATTCGTGCATTATAAAATCCATACACGTGGAAGAGGTTCATAGAAGTTCTTTTTCAAATTTCGACAACAGAACTTTGATTTGCATTACTGTTAATAACTCGAAATGTCTTTCATTTCTGTGTCTCCTGATTCTCATTTTCCAATTCAAAACTTGCCTTATGGAGTATTTTCTACAAAGAACGATGTAAGTTTAACAAAAAACATATTGAAATTCGACCATATTGTTTTGCAATAATCCATCCACCTTTTGAAGAATAAAGTGTACAATTTGTACACTTTAGAACTTGTAATTTTTGTTTTGTTTATTGTAATATTGTAAATCTTTGTTTCTTTGTTCTTTTTATACAGACTACACATCGCATTGGCGTGGCAATTGGCGACAATGTGCTGGATTTGAAAGCTATAAAACATCTTTTTAATGGCCCGGTTATGAAAACTCAACAAAATGTTTTTGATGAGGTTTGTATATGATGTCGAACATGTAAATTTAATAAGTTACAAACAAATGTTTGTGGGTCATTGACTTGATATGAAAGCCATTTTGACATTATGGGAAGGTGGGGGTGTGGCTGGGGGATGGTGGGGGGCATGCCTGAAAGAAAGTGGGACATGCTTGGTTTGAAAACAGTGGGTCCTACTTTCCCTATACAAGCATTTTACCACACCATTGTGTGAGGATTTCATGAGCCCAATGATTTTCTATATAAAATACACTTTTCAAAAGTAATACATATATTTGTCATATCCAATTGAGTACCCGCCATAATTTTTAAGTTCATATGGTTGGTCAAAATGGAAGATAGTTGGTTACTTGTTGGTTTTTCAAATTGTTTTTTTCACCTTGTAAAAACCACCTCAATTTGACGGAGTCAAACCTTTCAAAAGTTTGCAAAAACCTGGTCAAAATATTAGCCCCCCCCCCAATGCTAATGACTTAACAACATCCCTGTTATGGTGCATTGCAACTTACTGGGATATGGTTGCAATCAGGGATGGATTTACTGGGGGGGGTGCGGGGGGTGCACACCCCCCCTAGCCCTGGCCAGGAGGGGTGCAGGGGGGGTGCTATTTTTCATGATAAAGCAAAAAATTATCAGAGACAAAATGAGATTCAGTAATTTGAGTAATAACATGATGATAAGCGAACTGTGAACAACAATTACAATTCAAATACTGTAGCTAGACTTTGCAGTGGTTAAGCAAGTTGATGGATGTGTAAAGTCACTGGAAAGCAATTGCAACGTACTCGTCCGGAAAAAATTTTTCCCTAAAAAGTTGTCGATGGGGGGGGGGAGGTTGTTGCTTTCCGAATTTTTTTTTTGGCGGAGCACCCCCCCTACCAGACCATGCTGGATCCATCCCTGGTTGCAATGTCTGGAAAAAGCCAAAAGTCAAGTAAAAGCAGTCAATTGTGTAAAGGAAAGTAATTAAACAACAACTCAAAAACTCGATCATCACATGTTTTCATATAATTATTGGATATATTATGTTTGTTATAGGCGACATTGAACAAGTTCATGAGTCTTGGCCATGAAGCATGGCATGAAACACGTCAAACATTGCAGTCCATTTTGTCAAAAGATCAGGGCATATTAAGAGATAGTGCTGAACTCCAATCGAAATGTCTCATTCCACAAAATGAAGTAACAATGCATCTTCCTGCCAATATAGGTACACATTGGAGATATCTGTTTGAAAAATATAAAATTGTCTTCAGTTGATACTTGTTCTTGTTATGGATTTCAGTCAGCCTGAGGTCACTTTTCAATCACGGTTTCCAAGTTTATTGTCAATATTTTCAGTTATGTTTTTAAATTTGGAATATTGGGTGTGGAACTTGCAAAGCCAACTTCGCAAATTGCTTACTAAAGCTCCAAAGTGCTGAACAAAAGTAGCAAAGTACTAAGCATGAACTAGTAATTTGCAGTGTTTAAATAATACAGCAGCTACTTAAAAAAAATTCTTAAAAGCTTTAACCCATTGAGTGGCAGCACTTGATCTATCTCCCCCTGACAAGTAAAATCATCTGGTGTTAGACAGAGTAAAGTAATGGAATAGGGCGCATCTGGGTACATTGCCACTTAAAGGATTAACACATAATTTCACCAAATGTGTTGGCCATATTAGTAAAACACTGCAAATTACAAGTTCAGGACATGTTCAGGACTTCAGTAGTTTTGTTCTATTTATGTTTTTTTGCAGGTGACTATACTGACTTCTATTCTTCTCGGGAACATGCAACCAATATTGGTACTTTGTTCAGAGGAAAGGAGAATGCTCTTCTTCCTAACTGGTAATTTAAATTTTATAACAATAATATATATAGAAAATACATACAATATAATTACAGTATTGAACTATAAGTGCGTTTTAATGGGTAATAAAATCTCAGAGTGCCCAGTACCATAAAGATAAAGCAAATATGGTCAGGTTGGCCTTCTTGAAAATCTTGAGTGCTGAGTACTTGATAGGGTGAAATCAATAGTATAGTGGTGATTTTGAGGTAACTTAGCTATTATTTATGTTAAACATGAGATAAAAATATCTAGTATGAATATTCATTCATACCTGCTCTTCCCATCACCCCCTTTTCCCCAGCACCTTGTCTTCCTCATCATGAACGAACATATTATAGATAGGGGTATTGGGTTACCTGTGGGTAACAAGCCTGTTCGCGGGCGACCTGAGTATCGGGAAAAACAACGAACATGTGAGACTTTGTGAGCGAGAGTTTTGTGTAAAAAGTGGGAGTTTTTATAGTTTATTAAACTTTACTAAAACATAATACGAGAGTTTTAGTGTGCCGACACAAGTTCGGCACATTTTGGTGCCGTGACCAGGATTGAACAACGAAATATTTGCGGATAAAGACGAGAAATTGAGGGTATTACGAAATCCAAGATGGCGGACGAACTTGAACAACAAGAAATTGAGGAGAATAATACGGTAGAAATCACTCAGGAGGAGAAAGACCAGGAGAAAAAGATTAGAAAAGAGATTGAAAAGCTGCAGTTTTATCTCGAGGACGTCGACGAATTATTGGAAAGTGAGGATTTTAATGAAATCAAACAAGTATGCAAGCGAACACAGCAGATTCAGGATAATATGAACGACTTGGTGTCGCATTTACAAGAATTAAAAATTGAGCTGGGAAATTCAACACAAAGATCTATTAGACAGTGGACAAGAGATTTGAAGGCAGAGTATGCACCACTATGTGAGAAACGTGCGAGGTTGTGTAGGGTACTAGACGATAGACAGAGACATGAAAACTTGAGAGCTGAGGAAGAAGTGGCGATCAGAAAGATGGAGAAAGAAGAGCAACTACGTAGGCAGATCCAACAACGAGAGAAAGAAATGTGGGAAGAAAGAATGAGAGCGGAGTTAGTGCTGGCAGAGAAGAAAATTCAGATGGAGAAAGAAGCTAAAGCAAGTACATCGAAACTACCAGAGTTGAAAATATCACCCTTTAATGGCACTTCTGCTGACTGGATAAGGTTTGAGAATATGTTTTCCTCACAAGTTGACAGCAAGTCCATTTCCGACGCTGAGAAATTTGGGTACCTTTTAGAGCTTGTGAATCCGAAGGTGAGAGGTAGACTTTCGAACTTGAAGCCGGGGTCAGAAGGTTACAAAACAGCATGGGAAAGGTTGAAAATGGAATATGGTCATAATAAATTAGTAATTGCAGCTCATATGGAGGAGATTATTAAGTTACAGACGGTGAGAGGAAGAAATTACGATAAGGTATGTGAATTTTATGAAAGTCTTTGCAAAAACTATGACGCACTGCAAACGTTGAGTGAAGAAGCTATGTTAAAGGGGTTGGTGGTATCTACTTTAAATAAACTTCCCCAGGTTAAGCCTGATTTAGTACGTATGGATGATAATTGGGAAGATTGGAACATGAAACAATTGTTATCAGCATTACAGGGGTGGTTGAAGCGTAACAAAACAGAAGAGGTATCAACTAAGGAGCATGAAAACCCAAGAAAGAGGGAGCGAAACTGGTATACCCAAAAGGGGGGAGAGTTTACCAATGGTAAAGGCAAGGGCCCGGTCTGTATTTATTGCGAAGGACAGCACTGGGGAGACCAATGCACATCGTATGACTCTGTGACTAAGTGTAGACAGTTCTTTGTTGAAAAACGACTGTGCTTTAATTGTGGTCGACCAGGCCACCGCGAAAGTAAATGTCGCAGTAGGGGGTGCTACAAGTGCAAGGGCAAACATCACACTAGCCTTTGTGATAAACTGCAGGAAAATAATAATCGAGAAAACCACAACGCAATGTTAAATGGATATTCCCCATCCTCCGAAGAGAAGTCTTTACCAGCTATTGTGCCACTTAAAATTAAGGGTAAGACATTTTGGGCGTATCTCGACACGGGCTCTGGGAGAAATTTCATCTCGAAGGAAGCAGTGCGACAATTAAGACTATCACCCCAGCGCCATGAGAGTAGAAACATCCTAACTGTAAACGGGTCCAAAAAGGCATCAATGCCAGTGTTTGAAGTAACAATCAATTCAGTTGATGGACGGGCAAGTGAGAATATCGAGATTACTGGTACAGAAATGCCAGATTTTACAACTGTGAAAAGACCGACTTTCATAGAGCTAAAGGAGAAATACGAGCATCTTCGCGAGAAAACATTCTACCGGTCAGAAAGCGAAGAGTACCCCATCCATGTCATATTGGGCGATGCTACCTATTGCAAAATACGGACTGATCAAGTCTACAAGGGAAAATCAGAGGATCCGATTGTAGAAGGAACGACCTTCGGCTGGGTAGTTCATGGCGGCCAAGATTACGCAGACTAGCTCAAGGTGCATGTATGATTGTGACCATAGTGATTATGAACAGCTCTATTCCCTAGATGTCTTGGGAGTAGAGGATCGAGGGGAGAAAGATCAGTCAACAATTTATGCAGAATTCCAAGAAAGCATCACTAGGAAAGAGGATGGAAGATACGAAGTTGCTGTTCCATGGATACCTGGAGCTGTATTGTCAAACACTAATGAAGAACCCAGTAGGAAGAGACTCCACAATGTAAACAGGAAGTTGAAACAGAATCAACAGCTCAAAGATGAATACGAGAAAATTGTGCATGAACAGTTGAAAGACGGAGTCATTGAAAAGACCAAAGAGAGCTCGACTAGTGAACGTGTGTTATACATGCCACACAAACCGGTGATTAAAGAAAATGCCTCTACAACCAAGGTGAGAATGGTGTTTGATGCCAGTGCCAGACCCCATCCAACGGCCAATAGCGTCAATGAATGCATGCACACTGGCCCCCCACTTCAACCATTGTTATGGGACATATTAATCAGAGCCAGAATGTCAACCCATCTACTACTCGCAGACTTGCAGAAGGCGTTTCTGCAGGTTGGTTTGAAGGAAGATGATCGAGATGCGTTTCGGTTTCTGTTTGACATTAACGGTCAAGTAGAACATTTAAGATTTACTCGTGTGCCTTTCGGCGTGGAAGCCAGCCCATTTATGCTTGGTGCCACCCTGCAACACCACTTCAATCTGCAGCCACAAGAGTACCAAAACACCATTGAGTCGTTAAAAGAGAACACTTATGTTGATAATCTAATGAAGACCGGAAGTGATATTGCAGATCTTGAAGATTTCAAACGCGAAGCGACAGAAATCCTAGAAGACGCGAAGTTCCCAGTCCACAAGTGGGAGTCGAATGTCGAAGAACTTGACAACGAATCAAATCCCAGCAAAATACTCGGACATAAATGGAATAAGAGAGAAGATACACTTGAGATTCGAGCAGAACCTACAAAGGAAGAAACACCAGTGACAAAGATACATATTCTTAAGGAACTCAGTAGCATATATGACCATTTGGGAATAATATCGCCGACTATGGTTGAAGGGAAGCGCATCTATAGAGAAGCGTGTGATGACAAAGTCGGCTGGAATTCAGAAGTATCTACCAGCACGTCCAAAGATTGGATAAAGTGGCGACAACAGTTAAGAAACGTGAAAATTCCGAGAAGTCTAGCAAGGGAGATTCGAAAGGTGAAAGCTATACATTTGCATTTATTTGCTGATGCAAGTTTCACAGCGTGCTCGGCGGTCAGTATAGCAGTAATCGAACATTCCAGTGGAATAGTTAAGAGGGCCTCTCAGTAAAATCCACCCACTGGTTTGGGGAAGGGAAAATAGATTTAGCTCATATTTTGCATATGAACTAGACTTTGGTCAATATTAATCGAGCTTCTTTCAGAACGTTTCAACTTTCTGTTTTATAGGAGTTATAGCCATGTTGAAATTTGACCTTGCGAGAATATTTTCAGACCGGAAATGAAGGGGAATTTTACACGAATACATCTGATTTTTTAAAAACGTTGTGATGCGTTTATCCCCTTCAGTTACTGTTCACATGCAAGATTAACACTAATACTCTCGTTTACATGGAGATTGAACAACTTTATTTGCTTAATACGATTTTTTTATAGTTTTACGAAACTATGTTTTCAAGATGGCGACGAGAGGCTGAAAATTGCTCATATTTTACTTAAAATAGCTCAAAAGTGGCACCTATCTGAAGTTCAACAGGCATGTAATTTGAAAGTATACCTACTAAAGTCAAGTAATCAGGAATAAAACTCGTCTGCAAGGAATTTTCTGAAAAGTTATAAATCTCCAAATTGGGTCTATTTTTAGCTGTTTGTTTACATTCGCGTGTTCGCTGATCAGCGACACTAGTAATAATTAAAAAGTTAAATAAGCTGGTTTGTTATCCAGGTTCTAATTAACAACATAAAAAACATTAAAAATACAACCTTAAATATTCTTGGCTTATTCGCATGAATAATTTCACAACTGTTAAATATCTTTTTAAGGTATAATCGGGCAGTACTTTCTGTGGTTGTAGCAAATTTCAAAGCTGTCAGTATCTCTGGCTGTATATAAAAAGTGTTCGGTGCTTTAACTTATTTATTCAACTCGTCTCGTAATCTTTTTCTGTCCTTGTAAATGGAAATTTTGCCGGAAAGGTCGGACATTAATTCGTGCAGCATGGATGCAACATATTTTTGTACATAATTGCAGTCAAAATACTACAACCTTCCCACTTCCGCTTTTGTAGTCTGTTGTCATTTTGTTATTTTGTTTTGACTTTTGCATTATTGCAGCGGTTGCCGAATTATGGAGAAATATGGCGATAAAATTTAGTTGTTTCTTTATTTTTGTAATATTTTAAATAATTGTAACAAAGGATGCATTTTTCGTTTGATTCACTGCATATGAACACATAAAAGTTTTGAAATTTAACTTATGTCGTCGTATTTCCCTATAATTTGTTAACCGCTACAATAACAGAAATACTGCAGTAACAGAGATTTTCAAAAAAATAGTTTTTAAAAAAGTTTTAAAAGAGTTTTAAAAAGCAAAAAAGTTTAAAAAGTTAGATTTTTAAAAAAGTTAAAAAAATTTAAAACGGTTAATTAAAAAAGTTAGGGTTAGTAGTTAGGGATTACTGGTTAGGAGTTAGGGGATTAGTGGTTAGGGGTTAGTGCATGCCGCGAATTTATTATTATGATAAATTCAAAATGTGCTGCGAATTCATCATAATGATAATTTCGGACGTGTTCAGAATTTACTCGTATAGTAAATTCAAAGGTGGAGCTCATGCTGAACTACAACACTGGCTTGCCAGTTATTTTTGATAGCAGCTCCTATATTTACTTTGTGCATGCTTGAGTCATGGAAAAGAACTGTTCTTTTGCTGGCCTGGGGAATTTTGCATGTGGAGAAAGCCGGGGAATACAGAAGGTTGCACAAATTGGGGAGTATATGCAGACATTTGTACTCACCCCAGCAGTTGTCACCTCACGAGGCTTACCATCAACCAGAGCGAACTTATACTTGCCAGAGCAGGGCACTTTTACCTACCCAGGAACAGCTGACAAACATGACTATCCAGTCTGTTATTAGATCAGTTTCATTTTCAATTGGGTCTATCCTGTCAATATGAGATCAGTGGATAGATTTATATAACTATGAAGCCAGCAGACAAATTTGGGTAACGTTGTTTACATCGTTGCTACCCAATTCACAGCTTTGGATAACTCACATGCCTATATAGTTACTATTATTCTAGTTTACAGAAGCATAGACTGAATAGAACAAAAGTAACTAAACATTAAACTTATGTATTATCACTTTATATTTACTGAGATAGAGGGAAACTGTGTGTTTTGTGGACCAGAGCCACTTATAGATAGTATATAAGTGTTAAAGACTAAAGTATGAATAATTCACCGATTATTGGAGTGAACTTAATTTGAAACCAAAACTGGATAAATGGAACGCCGTAAATAAAAAGTTTAACGAGGGTCCTGAAGGGGGGGGGGTCCCAATCCCATTTCCCACCTGAAATTTTGGCAAAATCCCAGTCCCAGTTGGATTTTTATTAGAAATCCCAGTCCCAGTTATTGAAATCCCAGTCAATAAAAAAACCTTTATTTATCGGTGGAATAAACAGTTTTAAGACCTTTTAAGCGAGTGGCGGACACTTTATGAAATATTAGGGGGGGGCTCGTGCCGAAGGCACGGAAAATTTTTAAATTTGAACCCGGAAATGGCATTTGCAGCACTCTGAGACACGCATAATCAGAAAACCCAGAATTCCGGGCGCCAGAGTATGCCTGTTCGCAGGTAGTGCTGTGAATAATATAGAGTAACAACAAAAATCATGACCAAAGACACCAAAAACGGATCAAAATTGTATTTTAAAATACTCAAAACGCAGAAAAATTGGGAATCGACTCGCATTACCTCAATCCCATTCCCATTTTTGAGGACTTCATTTCCCATTCCCAGTGGCAAAATCCCAGTCCCAGCAACCCAAACCCCATTTTCCCAGTCTAAAAATAGATCAATCACAGTTCCCATTTTACCCCATCAGGGCCCTCTTTAAAAAATGAACTTTGAAACTTCGCGGTTGACACGCATGACACGTTTCATTGCAGACCGGTTGCCGAACATGAGGTTTTGTGGACCGGCACGTGACACGGTTTTGACAATCGGCAAATAGAAAAATTGAACTTTGACACTAACTATCAATAAGTGTTATAAGACTATATAACAATAAGAGTTAGTTACTTTGTTCTATTTTATGCTTTTGTAATATAGAACCATAGTAACTAGGCGTGTATGTTATATAAAGTTGTGAATTGGGTATAAACAAACGTTGCCTGGGGAATTTTGCATGTGGAGAAAGCCGGGGAATACAGAAGGTTGCACAAATTGGGGAGTATATGCAGACATTTGTACTCACCCCAGCAGTTGTCACCTCACGAGGCTTACCATCAACCAGAGCGAACTTATACTTGCCAGAGCAGGGCACTTTTACCTACCCAGGAACAGCTGACAAACATGACTATCCAGTCTGTTATTAGATCAGTTTCATTTTCAATTGGGTCTATCCTGTCAATATGAGATCAGTGGATAGATTTATATAACTATGAAGCCAGCAGACAAATTTGGGTAACGTTGTTTACATCGTTGCTACCCAATTCACAGCTTTGGATAACTCACATGCCTATATAGTTACTATTATTCTAGTTTACAGAAGCATAGACTGAATAGAACAAAAGTAACTAAACATTAAACTTATGTATTATCACTTTATATTTACTGAGATAGAGGGAAACTGTGTGTTTTGTGGACCAGAGCCACTTATAGATAGTATATAAGTGTTAAAGACTAAAGTATGAATAATTCACCGATTATTGGAGTGAACTTAATTTGAAACCAAAACTGGATAAATGGAACGCCGTAAATAAAAAGTTTAACGAGGGTCCTGAAGGGGGGGGGGTCCCAATCCCATTTCCCACCTGAAATTTTGGCAAAATCCCAGTCCCAGTTGGATTTTTATTAGAAATCCCAGTCCCAGTTATTGAAATCCCAGTCAATAAAAAAACCTTTATTTATCGGTGGAATAAACAGTTTTAAGACCTTTTAAGCGAGTGGCGGACACTTTATGAAATATTAGGGGGGGGCTCGTGCCGAAGGCACGGAAAATTTTTAAATTTGAACCCGGAAATGGCATTTGCAGCACTCTGAGACACGCATAATCAGAAAACCCAGAATTCCGGGCGCCAGAGTATGCCTGTTCGCAGGTAGTGCTGTGAATAATATAGTTAACAACAAAAATCATGACCAAAGACACCAAAAACGGATCAAAATTGTATTTTAAAATACTCAAAACGCAGAAAAATTGGGAATCGACTCGCATTACCTCAATCCCATTCCCATTTTTGAGGACTTCATTTCCCATTCCCAGTGGCAAAATCCCAGTCCCAGCAACCCAAACCCCATTTTCCCAGTCTAAAAATAGATCAATCACAGTTCCCATTTTACCCCATCAGGGCCCTCTTTAAAAAATGAACTTTGAAACTTCGCGGTTGACGCGCATGACACGTTTCATTGCAGACCGGTTGCCGGACATGAGGTTTTGTGGACCGGCACGTGACACGGTTTTGACAATCGGCAAATAGAAAAATTGAACTTTGACACTAACTATCAATAAGTGTTATAAGACTATATAACAATAAGAGTTAGTTACTTTGTTCTATTTTATGCTTTTGTAATATAGAACCATAGTAACTAGGCGTGTATGTTATATAAAGTTGTGAATTGGGTATAAACAAACGTTGCCCAAATTTGTCTTATCGAGCTAGACTTGGGCCAGTACACGCATTTTCATAAAAATAGCAACCCTTCAGCTGAACAGGATTCTGATTATCATATTGAGCGACATCAAAATCATGGGAGTTTCTGCAAAGTGCATTAAACCGATATTACCTGTAACACTATTTCATGACCTAAACATCGCACAGAGACACTTATGTAAGTTTTCTACTCACATTGGTCGTTCAGACATGCACCTTCCGCCGTGGGAGCGGCAGTCAAGGTCATAAACAGGAGATTATGGTATTGTGTCAATGTATTGACGAAGTTCTTATTATATTACCAATATATTATTTAATAACATTAAAAGATATCAGGGTCGTAGACACGAGCAGAATCGTTGTAACTGTACTACTGTATGTGAATATTGAAAGTGTATAATTAGTGCAAGTGTAAGTTAAGTATAAATGTAAAGCAATTCGAATTCAAGAATGTTCTGTACACGATCGCTTGTATATATTGTAATTATATTTTCACAAAATTGTATATATTCTTTTGAACAAGCTAAAAAAGTTTACTCATGGGTAATAAATCAGCTTATTTTAACTCTTCAATTACTAGTGTCGCTTATCAGCGAACACGCGAATGTAAACAAACAGCTAAAAATAGACCCAATTTGGAGATTTATAACTTTTCAGAAAATTCCTTGCAGACGAGTTTTATTCCTGATTACTTGACTTTAGTAGGTATACTTTCAAATTACATGCCTGTTGAACTTCAGATAGGTGCCACTTTTGAGCTATTTTAAGTAAAATATGAGCAATTTTCAGCCTCTCGTCGCCATCTTGAAAACATAGTTTCGTAAAACTATAAAAAAATCGTATTAAGCAAATAAAGTTGTTCAATCTCCATGTAAACGAGAGTATTAGTGTTAATCTTGCATGTAAACAGTAACTGAAGGGGATAAACGCATCACAACGTTTTTAAAAAATCAGATTAATTCTAGTAAAATTCCCCTTCATTTCCGGTCTGAAAATATTCTCGCAAGGTCAAATTTTAACATGGCTATAACTCCTATAAAACAGAAAGTTGAAACGTTCTGAAAGAAGCTCGATTAATATTGACCAAAGTCTAGTTCATATGCAAAATATGAGCTAAATCTATTTTCCCTTCCCCAAACCAGTGAGTGGATTTTACTGAGAGGCCCTCTTAAAGGTCTTCTTACGTCAAAGTCCAGAATTGCCAAGAGAAACACTTCCATACCAAGGCTGGAATTAGTTAGCGGTCAGATGGCTGCCAATATGGCTAAGAATTTGGTTGCCGCATTGAGAAGATGGCCAATTGCATCAGTTACAATGTGGATGGACAGCTGGTTGCTTTGTTTTGGATTGCAAGCCCAGAAAGATCCTGGAAAATCTTTGTATCAAATCGGACGCGGAAGATTGCTGAAATTACGGAAGAAGTAGGCATCAGTTGGAAGTACTGTCCATCCGAGGAAAATTTAGCTGATTTAGGGAGTCGGGGAGCTTCGATCGACAAAATGGAAAAGGACGGTTGGTTTAATGGTCCCGAGTGGCTAGTTAACCCAGACAAATGGCCAAAACAACCAAAGCTCGAGAGAACAAAGACTGTCCTGGACGAGCAAAAGCAGATGACGGAAGTAGCTTTCAATACGCAAGAAAAAGATCCGGACGAATGGGACTTGCTACTTTCTAGATCAAGCTACTGGAAGACTATTCGTGTTACTGCGTGGACGTTAAGATTTGTAAGCAATGCAAGAGTCAGAAAATAGAAAACTAACCTAGCGAAAGGTCCGCTGACGACGAATGAGCTAGAACAGTCGAAAGTGCGATGGGTGAAGAAGGTCCAAGAAGACATGAGTTCGGAGCTACGAGCACCTGGATGGGAAGTCATACGAAAAGGTGATTCTGGTTTACTGAAATGTAAAGGTCGAATTCCCGGGTATCAGCCGATATACTTGGAAGGAGGAGACTTTACGGACAAATTGATTATGCATACACACAATGAGATACGTCATTTTGGTATCGCGAACACGATGGCCGCACTAAGAGAGAACTGGTGGATTCCGAGACTGCGCTCGAAAGTTAAAAGGATCATTAACGAATGCAACGTATGTAAAGCGTACCGAGTCAAACCATATGGTCGTACAGCAACTGCCGAACTACCTACGTTTCGAATCAAAAGCGGACGACCATTTGAAACAACGGGTGTTGATTTCGCGGGTCCCCTCACATATAAGCTTACCAAGAAAGAAGAAGGCAAGTGCTACATCCTAATATTTACATGTGCTACATCCAGAGCCGTGCATCTGGAGTTAACGAAGACACAATCGGCAGAGGAATTCAAAGTAAAGCTAAACACCTTCATCGCAAGAAAGAGCAGACCAAAGTTGATTGTGTCGGACAACGGAGGAGCGTTTAAAGCGACAGCGTTATGGATCAGAAAGATACGTAAAAGTGAACGACTGCAAGATTATTTGGCAAGACAAGAGATTCGATGGAGATTCAATCTATCCAAGTCCCCTTGGTGGGGTGGAATGTACGAACGCTTACTTACTTAAGGACATTAAAAAAGCCCTGTATAAAGTTCTGGGAAGATCGACATTATTTTTCGACCAGTTAGAAGCAATTGTAATTGATATTGAGAAAAATGTAAACAACAGGCCACTCACGTACGTCGAAAGCGAGCAAGAAGAGGAACAAGTGTTTACACCAAATACAATTCTGTGGGGAAAAACGTGCATACCATTGACGAATCAGACACGGATAATGGAGAAGTCGTGAAGTTACACAAACGAATGAAGCAGAAACGAGAACACGCGTGGCAAAGATGGAAGACGGAGTACGTACATAGTTTGATGGAACATCATCGAGTGATTAAAGGGGGAAATGCGTGTCCAGAAGTGGGAGAAATGATGTTGGTGGTCGGTGAGGAAAAGAATCGAGCTGAATGCAAACGGGGAAAAGTTGTTGAGCTAATCAAGGGCAAGGACAACGTTGTGCGAGGAGTAAAGAACTTGACGAAGGGACATACGATTGAAAGACCACTTTCTCTTGTTTGCTCTCTCGAACTCAAGGAAGCAGAGATTGAAGAACCGAAGCCAAAGGAGACGAAGCCAAAAGAAACGGACGAAAGCGGACAACGAAAGAGTAAGAGACAAGCGGAAAAGGACGCTAGGTGTAAAATACTGCAGTTGATACAAGAGGAAGACGAAGAAGATTGAACTGAGAATGGAACTCGACATAATGTCGGACATTTGATTGCGAACTTTAACTTTCTAGTTGATATTAATTATAAAATTAAGAAAAACATTTAATTTTAGAGGGGAGCGTGAACGAACATATTATAGATAGGGGTATTGGGTTACCTGTGGGTAACAAGCCTGTTCGCGGGCGACCTGAGTATCGGGAAAAACCACGAACATGTGAGACTTTGTGAGCGAGAGTTTTGTGTAAAAAGTGGGAGATTTTATAGTTTATTAAACTTTACTAAAACATAATACGAGAGTTTTAGTGTGCCGACACAAGTTCGGCACAAAGCCATATAATAATATGCATTAGGGGCGGACAATTTGATGAGGTGGATTTTCAATGAGCCCAATAACTTTTTAAACCTCCCAATGCTGCTCGATATTTTTCTGTCGTTCAAGGCTCTTGAACATTTTTTTATTTCGTGGGCACATATAGGTAGTAGGTATTGAGTATAGGCTATGGCTATACTCGAAGTACCGAGTCGAAAGCTCAATAAAAGTATATTTAATTCAATCCGGAGAACTTTAATCAATTATATATATATATATATATATATATATATATATATATATATATATATATATATATATATATATATATATATATATATATATATATATATATAATATATATTATAACATATCATATTTACATAAATATGTCAGGAAAATGTCAATAACTCACTATAGTTAAAGAAATGACAAAAATATACAATTGTAAATATATACAATTGTGAATGTTTGCATGTCCAAACTTTATAAAAAATTCTCTTAAATCACGACCCATAGCCTATACTCAATACCTACTACCTATATGTGCCCACGAAATAAAAAAAATGTTCAAGAGCCTTGAACGACAGAAAAATATCGAGCAGCATTGGGAGGTTTAAAAAGTTATTGGGCTCAATGAAAATCCACCTCATCAAATTGTCCGCCCCTAATGCATATTATTATATGGCTTTTCAAAATTCTCTATTCTGATTGGTTGACAAGCGGTCCGTAAAAACCCATATCCGGACCGTGGTCTGTATTTTCCGTATGTGGACCGGTGTCCGGGATGTCGTTTATCTGGCGGGAAATTTTTGCTTTGCAAACAAAAAAATTTTTACTTTTTAAATTTCCAATTGTGCTTTACAGATAAAAATTTCAAATAACCAAATTGTTTTTGATTGAGCATGCATGCCTACGGTATATTTTTACCCAGTGAAACTGGCGATAGCCGATTTAATTCGCACGAAAAGCATATGCTCACAGACTCAGTTCAGCAAAATAATAAACCGATTATTGACCTCGCTTGTTCGGTCTGTACTGTAATCCATACCATACCATACCATACTACATACCATACAAAACTGTACTATACATACCATAAAAAACCTCGGTCTGATATTTCACAGTACAGACCTCACGCTTGGCCAATAAACCTTTAATATTTCTAAATTTCATTATAGTATAGTCGTCGCATGCAAATCGGCCATTTCTTCGTGTGAACCTCTTATGTTTATAATTAAAACGGGGATTATTATCATTATAAAACAACAAGTCAGCACTATTTAAAGTACGAAAATGTCAGCAAGTGAAAATGTCATTTAACTCTGCCTAACAGAAGCTCCAAAACTAAGGCGCTTTTTTTACAATAACAAAAGGAAAAGTAAATTAATTAAAGTCAATCACTATAATGTGTCTCGCCAAACGGCTACTATTAAAAAGCGATACAGCGATACAACGATACAGCGATACAGGAACCGGAACCTGGAACCGGAACCAGGAACCGTGCATAATTTATGCAAATTAGAGCATTTTGCACCACAGGGGATATACATAATAATAATCTACAGGGGGGGGGGATTCAATGATAGTATAAAATATTATATACAACTAACAAGGCATTTTGATTTTTAAGCAAAACAAAGAATGAACATCGTTGTACCACTTTTGCCTGTTTTGATATGACTGCATGACACATTTTATTTAGCCCCCGCACTTGATTATGAAATGCCAGCAGACAGAGAATGAAACGACGGCACGCAAAGCAGATTGCGCTGAATTCTCGAGCAATTAGAGTGTAGTGTATGATGCAATCCAACCGATTGAATGTGCTATATACGCTGCCGCCGGAATACGCGAATATTGCGAATATGCTGCATCAGTACTAAAAATATCCGCTTGACTGGCAACGATCACAAACATGAATGAAGTTATGAAGGTAACTTCAATGTCAAAAATGCATTTAATAATGAAAAATTGAAATGTCTGATTGAAATTCAGCGTCGAAATTCACTTAGTCGTGTCTCTTACCCTATATAATATAGTACTATCAAGTACCGGAGTACGTCTATATGTTTTCGACGCTGAATTTCAATCAGACAAATCAATTTTTCATTATTAAATGTATTTTTTTACATTGGAGTTACTATACCTTCATATAAACTTCATTTATGTTTGTGATTGATGTTCAAGCGGATATATTTCGGCATGCAGCATATTTATTTTATTTATTTATATTCGCTTCAATGCTGGGTTGCATCATACACTACACTACACTCTAATTACTTAATTTAGCGCACAATTGCTGCTGAATCCAGCGCAATCTGCTTTGCGTGCCGTGGTTTCCTTCTCTGTCTGCGAGCATTTCATGACAAGTGCGGCGGCTAAATAAACTAAGTGTGTCACATGCAGTCATATCAAAACAGACAAAAAGAATGGCCGCGCAATTACGAAACATGTAGTGCTACAACGATGTTCATTCTTTGTTTTGTTTAAAAATCAAAATGCCTTGCATATAATATTGTATATTATCATTGAATTGCGCCCCCCCCCCTTGTAAATTATTATTATGTATATCTCCTGTGGTGCAAAATGCTCTAATTTGCATAAATTATGCACGGTTCCAGGTTCCGGTTCCAGGTTCCGGTTCCTGTATCGCTGTATCGTTGTATCGCTGTATCGCTTTTTAGTAGTAGCCTCGCCAAACAATGCAAGTGACCACATTTATTAATATTTATGAATAATCAATAAACTCGATATCTAACGCATTCGAACATGCTAAAGTTCGATTGCCTTATTTTCAATGCACTATGTATTGCTTATAATTATGCACAAAAGTGGAAATGTGTGGTTTTGATCGGCAATTTTTGATCCGTATTTATTAGTATTTGGTTAATTATGTTTGGAATGACATGAACAATGTGTCATTTAGAAGCTAAAACCCTAATTAGTGTTTTAGCTAGTAATATGGGAAAATTATGATCTGTGCACCGCCGCTTAGGGCGCTTAGCATTGACGCACGCAAGACTGAAGAGATAGATAGATAGATAGATAGATAGATAGATAGATAGATAGATAGATAGATAGATAGATAGATAGATAGATAGATAGATAGATAGATAGATAGATGGATAGATAGATAGATAGATAATCTATTTTATACTCTTTCATTACATAGTGCGAATTTGAAAAACACAACAACAATTACAAATACAGAAATTAGAGTAAAGGCTACCTATAATAACTATATAAAAGCTAATAAATTTAGGTAGCACATGTGACTCTAGTTGGAGACAAAACAAGACGGCAGATAAGAAATACAATAGAAAAAGAAAAAGACTTAGCTCACTAATACATCAAAACGTTATCATAGAAGACAAAAAACAGACGACACACACACTGAAATATTGGCTACTACTAAAAAGCGATACAGCGATACAACGATACAGCGATACAGGAACCGGAACCTGGAACCGGAACCTGGAACCGTGCATAATTTATGCAAATTAGAGCATTTTGCACCACAGGAGATATACATAATAATAATTTACAAGGGGGGGGGGCGCAATTCAATGATAATATACAATATTATATGCAAGGCATTTTGATTTTTAAACAAAACAAAGAATGAACATCGTTGTAGCACTACATGTTTCGTAATTGCGCGGCCATTCTTTTTGTCTGTTTTGATATGACTGCATGTGACACACTTAGTTTATTTAGCCGCCGCACTTGATCATGAAATGCCCGCAGACAGAGAAGGAAACCACGGCACGCAAAGCAGATTGCGCTGGATTCAGCAGCAATTGTGCGCTAAATTAAGTAATTAGAGTGTAGTGTAGTGTATGATGCAACCCAGCATTGAAGCGAATATAAATAAATAAAATAAATGTGCTGCATGCCGAAATATATCCACTTGAACATCAATCACAAACATAAATGAAGTTTATATGAAGGTATAGTAACTCCAATGTAAAAAATACATTTAATAATGAAAAATTGATTTGTCTGATTGAAATTCAGCGTCGAAAACATATAGACGTACTCCGATACTTGATAGTACTATATTATATAGGGTAAGACACACGACTAAGTGAATTTCGTGACGCTGAATTCCAATCAGACATTTCAATTTTTCATTATTAAATGCATTTTTGACATTGAAGTTACCTTCATAACTTCATTCATGTTTGTGATCGTTGCCAGTCAAGCGGATATTTTTAGTACTGATGCAGCATATTCGCAATATTCGCGTATTCCGGCGGCAGCGTATATAGCACATTCAATCGGTTGGATTGCATCATACACTACACTCTAATTTCTCGAGAATTCAGCGCAATCTGCTTTGCGTGCCGTCGTTTCATTCTCTGTCTGCTGGCATTTCATAATCAAGTGCGGGGGCTAAATAAAATGTGTCATGCAGTCATATCAAAACAGGCAAAAGTGGTACAACGATGTTCATTCTTTGTTTTGCTTAAAAA